ACATACACATACATTTGCGTAAATCCCATCAACACAAAATCAGAGGGGAAAACGTTGTTTCTAAATGCAGGACTTTACAAAACCTGCAGCTGTAATTCAGTTACAATTCGAAATGTACAAGCAACATTTTATTCGAGAATATTTTTTAAAATGTGAATAATTTCTTATATTGAGGCTTTAAATTGTCATACAGGAATATGCAAATAATTTTGGATTAAGGGTTCACTTTCCACTGAAGCTCAAGCAAATTAAGATAAATACCCAGTGTCTTTTGAAATGCAGGAATTTCTTGTATTTGATTAGTGAACATTTTACAGTGCACATTCCCTGGCTCCCTGCTTTCTGAGGCCACCGTGGAGCTTGTTTTGGAGAGGCTGCAACCTGACTCTAATGTGCTGTGAATGAGAGACCTGAGCTCGGATTAAGACCGCCGCGGCTGGCCTGGCCCCACAGCCCATGTGCACATGGTGATCCGAGGGGCTCCTGATGGCACATGTGAAACACAACCTTAAAATATCACACACACTAAGACGGTTCAAGCACCAACTAACGCCCTATGAGTGTATCAAAACAGGGGAAAAAACATTCAGTCTGTCCTTTTCACCGTTCTGCTTGCAGGCCATTTTATTTGGATAAATTGCAGGGACACAAGCAACTCGAGTGTCTTTGCGACCACACGCTCCGCCTCTTAGTCAATCCAGACAAATTCTACGAGTTGTGCTGAAGCTTTTAAGCTGTAATTGAGCACAGGATGCCCAGGAAAACCAAAGCCAGCTCTGCACAGACCTGCGTTTTTATAGCTGCTATAGTATTCTGCTGCGCTTTTTTTCTCTCCGGCCAGACAGACACCACAAAACTGGCCAAGCGTGATGGGAAGTCGCCACCTACACGGACTCAAAGTCAGCAGCTGAGGATTTTCAACAACATAGAAACATATGTCCGTAAACAACTAAGGTAAGGCTTTCTACTCAAAATAAATAAGCATATTTGTAATAATTGACCAAAAATGTAATAATTATCCTAAATCAGAGACAATCATTCCAAATTAAAAGCCAGTATTATGTTAAATGTGTTTTGTATTGAAGAAAGTCGTTCTGCTAATCCGATGACCATCCGTCTTGTGGTTTTTGGGTCATCAAACTGCAGTCTGGCGCTGCGTAAAAGCTCTCAAAGCCAAAGCTTTGTCTGTACGGTCGACTTCAAGTTCGGGGGAGGGAGAGGGTCCTCTACAGAGAGCAAAGGGCCCACTGTGCCCCGGATGGAGTTCCTTTAATTGCTTTTGCATTTACGCAGGCTTTAGGTTACAAGATTGGTCGATAATGTGAGCCTGTAACTCTAAGCTAAAGAAAAGTCAAATGAACTTCACCTAGGCACTAATAATGTATCTTGAGAGATGTTGACCTCTAATGTACTCTCTGCTGCAGGTTTAAATGTAACTCTAAATAGTGCTCTAAATAGTAAACCGTTGATACAAACACATGATGTTACTCTCATCAAAAGCCCTGAGGTCAATAATAACGTAATCTTCATCTATACGGTTAAGGCAAAAAAAAGTTCAGTTTCTATCCGATTTTGGACACAAGAGGAAACAAAGTCTAAAACATAAACTTTAACGCACTGACTTTTGGTGATAAACAGCAATGAGTCACTATGAAGAAGATCTGATGTGGAGACAGAATCCGTGAGTTAACTCAGGGACACCTTTTTCTTGGCCTTTAGGTCTAAAGCTATGTTTTCCTATCTTAGAGCGCACACACACACACCAACACTTGGTTGACGTTATTTAAATTCAATGAAACACTAAAAATCATACAATTACAATAACTCAGATATTAACACAATACATTTAACTTTAAATTAAGTATAACTACTATCCTGGAGTGACAGACGCGCAGTGGGTTTGTCTCACTCAAGAGAATGACACAGCCCAATCCGCGTGCCATAAAACCTTGTCAGACAACAAGTAAACAATCAAGTGTAGGGAGGATCTGAAAGTACAGTTTAAGGGTACGTCAGGTAGGCCATATAGGCTGTAAAAGGGGGCTAAAAAGGCGCATGCAGTGTCTTGCAAAGAAACCTCCTGTAGTTTAAGTCTTCAAGCGAAATAAAAAGCCCAAAGCGTTTAGTACAGGCTGTTTTGTTTTCATTTTATGGTAGAAAAATAGGCCATCGCACCTGCGCCTCAAAGCAACTATTCTATATATTCTTATACTCAAAATGAAAACGCCGTCTTTAATGTGTAGTGAGCTGAGCAGGAGGCCGAAGAGATACAGTATGACCATACAATAAGAAGACGGGTTCCAACTGTGACCTATTAATGCACAAACTCTTATAAAGCTATTAAAAGATCACAAAACACAACTTAGATGGAGGTCTGTAATTCGTTACGGGAAAGCGGTCTCACAACCAAAACAAACCTGGGTGGAGCTAATTAATGCATTTATAATTTTCTGCCAAAACATCCAATAAAAATATAATTTTACGCGTTTACTTGTGTTTTTGTCTTTTATATTTATACATTGTGAGATTTAAAAAAGAAAGTGTTTTTGAACTTGAATGGTACAAGGTCTTGGCTCATGTTGCTGGCTACACTGATAGGAGCCTGGAGTTGCGGGGGGATTATAAAACCATCAGACTGAAACATGAAACAATCAACGAGAGCTTGTACTCCGTACAAATGAACGAGCAGGAAAATATCAGTAAATTTGAACCTGATTCAGCGAACAACTGTTGATTTATCCACAGGTGACAGAAATGTGGGCCGACAGCGATGGCGACGACAGAGGGGCCAGGCAGACCACACAGGGGCCATGCAGGGAAACTGACCAACTCCACGGTCAATGGGAGAACCTCTGACTAACCAGTGGAGACTCTGAATTAGCCTGTAGAGGGTACCCTGGGAAACAAGGCGTGAGCAGCAGCGGGCTTGGACAAAAGGATATAAACTGGACTTCAGTTGGGGGAATAAATGACATTTTACAAAGGCGGAAAACATAGAAGGAAAAAGACAGACTGATAGAAACAAGTCGCAATTTAGGTGAAGTGAACAGGTTAAACAAGGAACTCATAATGTACAAACTAGACCATTGCGTCAGAAAACCCTGTCTTAATTGCGCACTTGCCATTGATGGTTTGTGGGATATTACAATAAAAAAAGAAATTGTGAGGATTAGAATTTAATTTCAGTCCTCCAATTGTGTGCGTATGCCCAAAAATAACATTTATGAAACTTTTAATAATAAAAAAAAGTCGAACTGAGCCATTGAATCCTAAACCTTGTGTTACTTAAATAGTGTTTTCTCCCCTTGGTCCTTTGATTAAAAAAAGTCTATTCTCTAAATGTTTGGTTCGTTTTCACCATCTGTACTGAATTTAAGATGCACTTAAGATGTGATCTCCCACAACAAGATATATAGAATATTTAACAGTCCTGGGAGCCAACAAAACAAAATGTAAGTCTAACTAAGGCAACGCAGTTATTTTGATCCAAACATTGGAAATTTAGATGACATTGCTTTTTTCCGAAAGTAAATATTTCGGTTAGCGGCAATAGACACTGCATATAGTCTGCGTCAAATACAGCATTTAGATCAAATATATTCTGACTCATGGTAAACAGGTTTATTCGATTGAACCGCCAACTTCAACAAAAATGTGTCCGCTAAAATACATTTCTCACTATATATTTTCTTATAATCACCTTTGTCTCGCAATTTTCTATCCAAGCTCAAATAAACAGATCTTAACTGATCCACGTACTTATGGCCATCAAATGGCCAAATACAATTTCTACTATCTCCTTAAAAATCCCAGTGGATTGTAGTTCAATAATTTATTTAAAAGACCAAAATAGGTGAAATTATTTCCCTTTCTTTAGCACTTATTCATTTATTTTGGATTTAAACAGTAACTGTCATATCAGACTATTGTCTGGATAGGATACGAATATGAAACAACTGCAGCGGTTTTTAAATCAGTCAAAGACGCACAGATATCTATATTCCTCCATATCGCTTTGATAGGGAATCACATGTTCAAGAAAACATTTAGTGTGTTCAACAAAGGTTTGCGGCACAAATTGGCCTTATGACATCTTGTGCAAGTTTATGTTTATTCATTGACTTTAAATAACGTGAAACATGTATTTTGCGTTATGGGAAATTGACGTAATCTGTGTCTAGGCAAATAAAAGGCAGGCGACGCACATGTTCTGCTTTCACTGACGCACTCGTACCCTCTGTGCATCTTCTTTTTTTTTTTTTTTTTTTTAAAACATACCTATTCCATACATCCTTCATAAATGAACACAGTAAATTATATGGCATTTATATATCAAATCAAATGAGACCAGGACAGGAAAAGCCCGTCTGTGGAGGAATAAGGCGCCGACCGGGACACGGAGGAGGCTTTCACATAATCTCGGTCAAGTGCTTCTATTTGACCGCTGTCACGGTCTCGGATAAGCTTATGTCTGCTCGGGTCTTTGTGGTGTATTACAAGATTATCTTCTAAACTCATGCTTTCATGTTTGACCAGAGCTATGTTGTTGACTGGCTGAAGGTTGCAGGCCTCGCCTCTATTACGCAAAGAGACAGCGAAGGTCAATGTAAAGAGCAATGCCTGGTGCTGGCCCTGTCTGTGTTCAGCCACGTCTGAGAGACAGGCGAGATACAAACTGCTAACCTATTTGGATGTGTGGTCTATTCGACCCACTCACTGACCCGAGAACCTCACACGGTATCAGTTTATTTAATAATAGCCTACTAGTTCCCAGCCTATATACCTGCTGTCTGTGACGATGCGAAATAAGGCCCAGCCTGTTCAGTTCATTTGACGAAAATGAACTATGACCCTTTTTTTATTTGT